TTGTGCCTCTTTTGATACTGTTTTGAACCTTGTGTCTCATTGCATACCCTTTTTCTTCTAAGCTCCATACCACCTTTTCAAATACACGCATTCACCACCACCATTCTCTGTTCTACCCCCAACAGACCTCCTTCAGGAATCCTAGGACTCTACAACCTGTCCTACATGTGGTACTCCGCTACAGGATGCTTTACGGTGATTGTCGTAGGATTGGTGGTCTCCTTGCTGACGGGCGGAAGGGATCTGGGAAGTCTCGATCCCCGCACGCTCTCGCCGCCGTTGCTGTGGCTGAGGAAGTGGGTGCCGGCGCTGAGGGCCGTCGGGGAGAATCTGGTGAGGATTTGGTGTTTTTCATTGCTAGTTTCGTTTTTTTTTTCTAGTTTCTTTTCTTTTTTCTTGTTATTTTGTCTTTGTATCCTTTTTTTTCTTCTTCTTTTGTGATTTTTAAAAAATACCTTTGTGATATTCTTTATTTTCGATTTGCTTTGTGATATTTTTTGTGGTTGTTTTTTATCTTTGATTTTTTTTCTTTTTTCTTTTTTTCTTTCTTTTTCATTTGTATTTCGTTGTTTTCCCTTTCGTACGTCATTCTTTAGATTTTGTTTTATCATTTTCCTTTGTGATTCTTTGTTTGTCGTTTTTCTTCTTTCTTTTTTTCCTTGTAATTCTTTTCTTTCTTGTCATTTAATCGCAGTCCCTTGTAAACTTCCCCCTCCACCACACCCCACAGAACGACGAGCTAGACGAACTTCGCGAGACCTCGACCTCCGAGAAGGACGGCGGCGACCTGACCTCCGGCGACCTGACCTCCATCATCTCCAAACTCCCCCCGAGGACGCTGGACGGATCCCTGAAGGAGGCGAAGACGGACAAGCCGCCCGTCGTGCTGGACGCCCAGGCGCTCCCACGTGAAGACCCTGCGAAGTTGAAGTCGTCGATGTCTGACTCCGCCTTCGAGGACGGTTCCAGCAGCTTGGGAATCCTGGAGGAGGAGAAGGAGGAGGAGGACGGGCGCAGCGAAGACCTCGGCCTCGAGAACAGCGCCATGTCCGTAGACGACGAGGACGGGTCGACAAGTCTCACGATCCCGACGACCCATCTTTGAGGACGAGTGACGGGTGCACAGTATGAATAATAGTGATATCGATGGTAATAATGTAGGGTTTGCTGTGACAGGCTCTTTAGGTATCAGTCGAATTGTGGTTTGTCTGTTTATTGTGCTTCTAAACTGCCCCCTGTGTGAAAGGAATGGCCGGGGTTGCCATCCACTGGCAGTGCACGGGAATCGAACGCAGGTCAGCAAGATTGCTAGGCAAGAACGTTGCCAGGGCACAACAGGATATTGTGTTCATTGCGACAAGTGTTGGTCTTTTAATTACTGTTACACTAGGTGAAAGGGGATGCATGAAATTGAGTATTTTCGCAGTGTATGGATGTGTTGGACCGATTTGGACTATCGGACGAAGATGTAGTCGAAACCGGTCCTACACGTGATTTTTTTATTTCTAGTTTCATTCATTCATTTCTCGGTTTCATTCATCCTTTTTCTACAGGTGTAACAGTAGTTTAAGAATGATCAGTCGTCGAGAAAAACACCCAACATTTACAGTCTTTTTCTTAGAGATCTTGTCCTAAAACCTAGCGTGTTGTAATAAAAGGAGCTATTGGGATTGAGCTTGAATAACTTAAAGGAGTATAGACACCCATCACCAAAACCACATTAGATAAATAATCCCTATTTATCAGATCTTCATTGAAAAATACAGCGTATTTGTAACGAGCATTATTACTGATAATACTGGGATACTGTACAATATTATCCGAAAATATAATGCGATATTGTTAGTGGTAATATCATAAATTTTACCCAGGTTATCGACAATAACAAATGAAAGTAATATCAATGCATCAAGAGTTCATAGACTGTGAAGCGAAATGATAAATCTAGAACAAAATTTATACGTTCGTAACCTGTGGCTTCAGAACACGTTAAAGCAACAGCTGATTGTGAAGCAGTGTGTGTTGAACATCATTTTCGATTTATGACTTTTGTGTGCAGACTGAAATAGGTTAGACGACCGCGAGTTGTGTTAGTGTGTGTGTTTCGAATTAGTAGGTGGTGAAGTGTGATTAAATCCTTCGAATGGAAAAGTATATTTATTTTTGTCACTTAGTCATCGAATTTGTAAGCGTAATCTTAATCTTACTGCCTATATTATTTGTCGAAGGCCCTAGGCCACTAGTTTAGGTCTGTAATCAATGCCATGTAAACAATATATGATTTTTTTGTACATACTATACCTCACTGCCTTCTGTGTCTTTAAATATACATCTGTATATGTAAATAAGTTTTTTCCTTTTTTTAACAGCAAAGAATGTGGATAAATACCCTTTGTTGTTTCTAGAGTAGTAACATAACTATCAATAAATAAATGTGCATCCGCATGTGGGTATGTAATCCATTCGTCATAACAGCAACCGATATTATGTAAATTAGAGGTTTTACTGAGGCAGAATTGAGAGGTAGAGCTTTGTTTAAAGCAGTTGGATAATCACGACGAACTGGAAAGGCTAGATCAGTAGCAACTCGAGGAGGTGTCATGGCGTCTGATTCTATTTTTGGAAAAAAAAAAGCACATGGGGTTTATTTTGATGACGTCACAGAAGTTACGGATGCTTTGTGAATGTGGTCGATCATTTTGGTCTCTTTAATTTTCAAAAAGGATGGAAAATAATTATTTTAATGGTTATATTTTCACTAAACAATCATCAAAACAGACGCCATGACACCTCCTCGAGTTGCTACTGATCTAGCCTTTCTCAATGAAACGAATAAAACTCATGTCGTGAATGAAGCTTCGAAGCATTCCAAACATAAACAAATGTCACGTGATTTGGGCGTTCGAGACGAATTTGAATTTGAATTTTAACCATAACTGTATGTATGGATTTCTGTGTATGTGTGTGCGTGAGTTGATATCATGTCCTGAATCACTCTTGTGTTTCATCCAGGAATTGTATCTAAAAAAAGACAGAGGATATTATAGTAGTATAATTTAATCGAAATCAGACTATAATAATACTTTCACACGTGGATGTCTATAAAAAACCTTCAACTATGTAATGAAGGCTTATCACCAAATTTTACATAAATAGAATAAAACGTGTAATTTTTAGAAGTTTTCTTTTGAATTCATGTTCTTCGTCTAAGATATAAATATATATATATATATATTTATATATATAATATATTTATATACATATATAATATATATATATATATATATATATATATATATATATATATATATATATATATATATTTATATATATTATATATATATATTATATATATATATATATATATATACATATATATATATATATATATATATATATATATATATATATATATATATATTACAGTTTGTCAGTATTGTATTTTTGGAATAAAAATATATATAGTCTACATACACATAGCCGATATAGGCATAAGAAATAACACATAGTACCATAAAGTTCTATTATGAAATATTCTTATATTTCGATTATATTAGTTATGTCTAAGTTCATACATTAGTTATCTAAGCCTTCGTTTTCACAACTTAATTCTCCGTCTTCGTATCACAGTCTTGGTTATGTTTAGTTTTTCATAAATGAAAAAATAGTAGTATTGATGATGATAATAATAGTGATATTAGTAATAATAACAATGATAATAATAACAGCAATGCTAATCATCATAAATCGTAAAAATATTGATATTAAGAATAAGAATGCAAATAAGAATATCAAAATGATGATAATAATAATAATAATACCAACAGTAATAATAATAATAGCAATAATAATAATGTTTCATTGATATTCTTCTAACAGGAAACAATTTTGATCTACATCTTTTGTCACAAATAATAATTATTTAATTTAATTCTTAAATCTTGAGGTCCCTTTTAGGTCAAATTTTATCATCAATAATACTTAAAAGTCCTTTTTCTTTTGCAGTTCTGATAAAACTATAATTTTATATATTATTGACAAATATTATGCACACTAGAAAAAAATATATATATGCTGAATAAAAATATAATTCATAAATATACCATGTTTATAAGTATGTAATTAGATTGCATTATCCATGTACAGTTAAAAAAATCGTTCATGTTTTCTTTTTATCTTCACATTTAAAATTACTGACCTATAGTTTCACCAGATTTCACCAACATCTACCAGAGTTCTTTGTGACAATTGCAGCAAATGTCATGAATGAAAATAAAGAAAATTAAGAACTTCACTGAGCTAGAAATTAAACTGACGCATTTCGATTAAAATTCAAAGCCAAAATGACACAATAATTATTCATTTCAGTCTAAAAGAAAAATACCGAAATGATGCATAATTCTTCATTTCAGTCTAAAAAAAATACCGAAATGATGCATAATTATTCATTTCAGTCTCGAAAATGCATAATTATTCATTTCAGTCTAAAAAAAAATCACGAAATGCATCATTTGCTTCCCATACTATGTGAAGTCATCAATTCCCTTTACATAATATCTAATATGATAATAGTACCAATAGCATCCACATGAATACATCAATAAAGAACATCTAGTTTTATAATAAACCGTGATCTTGAAAATCCTTTAAACATTCTTTTGAATAATCTTACTTATCGTTTTCTTGGCATGAAAGTTTCACAACCTTAACAGACGCAGTGTGACGCATAAGATGATGAAATGGGTTGAAAGACACGACTAAACATTACATATATAATTATAATATATATATATATACACAGTATACTGCATACAATAATTTAAGGCATCTGTGAGATCCTTGTAACCTGAAAGATACTGCAGTAAGTCAGTTATGAAAGGGATTCTTCACTAGATAAGAAATTTACACAAAAATGATAATTAAATAACATCATAATAAGTACACGTTCCTCTGCTCACAGCAACCATATCAAAACATAATAATCTTTGCCATAAAATATCTATAATAATAATCACCATGATTAATAATACATATGATAATAATAATAATAATAAGTTAACACAATTATCATTATCATTATTACCATTATGATTATTTTCATCAAAACATTAATTATGATAATAATAATAATAATAATAATAATAATAATAATAATAATAATAATAATAACAATAATAATAATAGCAATATTATGATAAAACTCCTGCTGATAATGACAATAATAACGATCACAATGATAATAATAATGATAACGATAGTAATTACAGTAGTAATACTGACGATATCATCATAAAATATCAAGAACCACATTACTACTTTTCTGCACCGTGGACGGAACCTGATAAGTCACTTAATTAAATCAATAACAAGAAATATAATCTATTTCGATCAGACATAAAAATCGGTCATCTTACTACTGACCCAAAGAAAAAAAAACACTCAAAATCACATTCAATCTACGCATTCACACACACAAAAATATTCATAGAAATGCCACAAAGCAAATACGAGAAAGAAAGAAAGAGGGAAAAAATATACATATATCTATGCTAAAACTTCTACCACGCGTGCACATACCACGAGCACGTAAGAACAGGTATTCTTATATATCTACATATACAAAAAATGCTAAAATGGGTTTCAAAATAAGACCCATTTCCCGCGCAGCACGTTTAAAGTTTTGAACTCTCTTTCTCTGGAGTAAAACCGTTACTCTTTGGCGTGTATTTCTCCTTAACGGTCGTGTCGAAGGCGGGGTTGATGTTGCCAAGGGAAACCGAGCTCTGGTGCGTTCGGAGGCCTTCCTCTTCGTCAACCTAAAGGGAAAACGGGTAGTTTGGTTAGTATTTTCTCTGGATTGATGATTAAATGTGGTAATACTGATTTGGTGGTGATATTAATGATTATCGTATTTGAAATGTTGATATCATGATGGCAATAGTGACGATACTGCTACTAAAATCAATAATAACGATGATGATGCTACCAATAATAACATTAGTGATACTAAAAAAACAACAACAATAGTAATCAAAGCCCCAAAGGACGCTATCCCCCCACACACAAAAAATAAACAAAAAAACACGCCCACCCACTCACCCACCAACCCAAAAAAAGGAAAAACCACTCACAAAGTCCTCTCCAAGTCCTTCGATGCCGGGGATGAACCTCCTGAACCAGAAGATGGCAGGAGAGAGAGTCCTGGGGTCAAGAGTCCTTACATTCTGCAGTCCTGTGACGAGGGAGACCAAGAGCCCGACGATGATGACGGTGAAGCATCCTGTGGCGGAGTACCACATGTAGGAGAGGCGGTAGAGGGCAAGGGGCTCTTCGACAGGTCTGCAGGAGGAGGAATTGTGGTGATAAAGGGAATGATTCTAGGAATGACGGGAATACTAAGGCTACGAATATTAGTAAAATAAGAGTACTAAAACTGTAAATGATACTAATAATGGCATTATATTAACGTGATGAATTAGATATTAAGTAATGACATTAATATAATAAAAATGATGACAACTACATCTGCTCTTACTACTAACACCGCTACTAATTATAATTATATGAAGCATAATAAAAGCAACAAAACAACAGTAATAATAACACATCTGAATAAACTAAATATATAAACATCTAAACATCTAAACACACTCTTCCCCTAAAACCAGCACCAGACTTACTCTTCAGCCACAAGAGGCGCGGCGGTGAGAGGCGAGAAGGCGGAGGTCTCGTTCAAGTTACACCCTTCGATACTCGTGACTTTCCTGTCGAAGGTGATCTGGCCGTTCCAGCGAGCGACTTGGTGCCCTCCGCCGATCCAGAACATGAAGATGAGGCTCGTCAGGAGACCCGTGAAGGCGCCCTGGAGGGAAAGGAGGCAATGGGAGAGAGTTAAGAGAGAGAGAGCAAGAGGGAAGAGGTAGGGGGGGGGGCAAGAGGGGATTAGGTGTGAGGCGTGCTAAAGGGACATTTCGTTGTTGCAAGATATTGATTTGAATAAAAAAATGAAAACCAAATGAATTAAAAAAACATTTCACATTTAAAGTCCTAAAATGATAATAAAAAACACCAATAAAAGAAAAAAAAGGTATATAAAGCCCAAAATCATCCATTTTCGCATTTCAACGGACCAAAAAAATATCAACTGCCCCAAATCAAAAGACATCCAAATCTTATATCCAGCGACTGAGGACATCACTTTACCTTCGAGTTCGCCCAGGGGAAGAACATGCCCAAGGTGAAGACTCCGAGCAAAGGTCCTCCAACCATGCCGAAGATACTCAGAGCGGCCTAGAGAAGAAATAATAAATGGAAATAAATTAACAGATAACAAGTAATTCATTATGTCTTTGGGAAACTGAGGTGGATAGAGTACTTTGCAGTGATTTGTTATGTTTTTCTTAATCTGCATGAAAGAATACATGTAATCATGGAATATGTGCATTATGTCTATCCTTTGAAATTCAAATTAATTCAACAAATCTGTCAAGACTTCAAAGCTAATCCTTAATCAACATTTAGGAAGTCAAGATCATATCTCGGTAATATAATAATGATAATAATAATGATAATAATAATGATAATGATAATGATATAATAATAATAATAATATATAATAACAATATAATGATAATAATATAAACAATAATAATAATAATGAACCAAATAAGCGAATAAATAAACGTACAGACAAGATGTTGCCAAGCTGCTCAGCCACGAACACCAAGCCGAAGGTCAGAAGCCCGAAGAAGAGCGAGAGGACCTTGGAGAGCAAAGTGGCCTTCTTCTCGCTGATGTCAGGACAGCAGCCGGCCTTCACGTAATCCTCGAGGACAATGGCAGCGAGTGAGTTCATTCCCGAGGACACGGTGCTGCGGGGAACAAAGGGATGGTGAGGATAAGTACGTGGTTCGGGTAATAAGGCAGCGGGGAAGGGTAGATCAGTAGCAACTCGAAGAGGTGTCATAGCGTCTGTTTTGGTGATTGTTCAATGAAAATATAACAGTTAAAGTCATTATTTTCCATCCTTTTCGAAGGTGTCATGGCGTCTGATTCTGTTTTATTGGAAAAAAGCACATGGGGTTTATTTTGATGACGTTACAAAAATTACTGATGCTTTGTAAATACGCTCGATCATTTTGGTCTCTTCAGTTTCCAAAAAGGATGGAAAATAATGATTTTAATGGTTATATTTTCATCAAAACAGACGCCATGACACCTCGAGTTGCTACTGATCTAGCCTTTCCCATAGCAGCAATGCGGATTTGAGAGAGGAGATACGGTTGACATAAATAACGAAGGAATGGTGTAGATCATTTCGTGTATGGTTTAGATAAAGAGCTTTCGGTGGATATACAATACAGATGTAAGAGAGATTGTAAATAAATACATAGTCCAAAATGGTATATTTAAAACCAAAAGGGTATGCTGCGAAAGGGATGGTGAAGATAAATATTTATACACGGTTTAGGTAAAGGGCCATGCAGATATGAGAAAAAAAAAATATACAAATTTAATGCATAATGAAAAAAACTTGATTCAGACAAAACAAACCTTCAAGTCAACTCAAAACAAAACAAAACACAAAACCCATACCCCCCCCCCCCACCAAGACCTCCCCGACACCACCTGAGAGCGCCGGAGAAGATACCCGCCACGAAGAGCCCGGGCAGCCCATACCACTGGCCGAGGGTGTCCATCACGAAGAGGGGGAACAGCTGGTCGCCCTTGGACACGACTCCGGAGCGGACGGGGTCGCAGTCCCAGTAGCGAGCGTAGACGACCATCCCACCGAAGGCGCAGGAGAGCATGAGGATGAAGAGGCCGACGAGGTTGATCCAGAGGGCGTTGATAGCCATCTGCTTGGTCTGGACGCAGAGGTAGCGCTGGACCTGTAGGAGGGAAGAGGAGCGGTGGGGTTAGCGTGCGTGTGTAAGGTTGGATAAAAGGGGGTTGTGGGTTGTGAGGGAGAGGCGTTGGGGTTAGCGTGTGCGTATAAGGGTTGGGTGAAAGGAGTTGTGGGTTGGGAGAGAGGAGCGGTGGGGTTAGCGTGTGTGTGTAAGGGTTGGATGGGTTGTGGGTTGTGAGGGAGAGGCGTTGGGGTTAGCGTACGTGTAAAGGTTGGGTGAAAGGGGTTGTGGGTTGGGAGGCTTGATTTGGTTTGGTTGCGTGGGTTTGTTGTCTATGTTGATTTTCTTTTGCTTCTCTGTCTGACTATTTCTACGTGCGTGTACGGATTCACACGCATACATATAAGAACGTAAACACAAACACGCACAAAGGAAGGCAGGCACATACAAACAAACGCAATCTCTCAAACACAAACAAACGCCCTCACACACATACACACACCAACAAACACCCCTCACGCCATCCAAATTTCCCAGCCGCCCACGACCAACGCCCCGGACCCTACACCCACGCCCCTAACACACTCACCTGAGCCTGATTAACGCCGTAGATCGTGATCCAGGTGAAGTATCCGCCCACAATCAGGGTCCAGAAGGTGTGTCGGGTCGTCGGGTTGGGGTCAAAGTTCACGAGCTCGGCACGCCCGCCCTCCACGTTCTTCTGCCACACGTACTCGAAGCCGCCCACGTCGATGGCGCCCTTGATGATGACGAACATCATGCTTCCGTACATGATGATCATCTAAGGGGGAGGGGGGAGGGTATTAGCATCATTGTTGTTTGTTTGTTCTTGTTAGTGTCATTATTAGGCGCTACTATCATCATCATCAATATTAGTAACATTACTATCACTATCTTCATCATCATTCTGCAATTTTCCTCATTATCACTATCATTATCTTCATCATTTTTTAACTTTTCTTCATTATCACTATTATCTTCATCATTTCTTTAATTTTCCTTATCGAGATTATCTTTCATTAAATCATGATCTTCATCATTTCTTTAGTTTTCCTCATCATCACTATCATTATCTTCATAATTTCTTTAATTTTCCTCATTATCACTATCATTATCTTCATAATTTTTCATTTTCCTCACTATCACTACCATTACTATCCTCATTATCACCGCTACTGCTTCTGAAATGATTACACCTCCAATAAACCCATTTTCCTTTACAAAAGCGACAACACAAATCTCACCTGAATAGCATCCGTCCAAAGCACGGCCTTCATGCCTCCAAGTGTGGTGTAGAAGATGCACACGAAGCAGATGAGACTGACAGACACGTACACATTAAGACCCGTGACCTGAGCCAGGGCGAGGGCGGGAGCGTACACGACGATGGCCATGTAGAGACTCATCTGCAGTGGAAATACGGGCTGCAATGGAAATACGGGCGGGCATATGTAAGTGAGGAAATACGGGCATGTAAGTGAGGAAATACGGCGTGAGGAAATACGGAGTGTGTACGTGGGTAAGTCTCGAATGAAAATGTGATCGCTGTGCCTGTAATTTAAGTTTTTTTGAGCAATTTATTTGGTTTATCTTTTAAATGTTATTATTGAACTTTGCAGTATCGTGTTCATTAGTAATATTATCTATAATGATAATATATGAGTAAAGAAATTTGTCATATTAGATATCAGTATGACTTCCTCGAATTTACTATAGATATGAATAACCAGGAAAATAACATAGAAGAAAATCGTAAGTATCAATAACCTATCATGAAGTAATAAATTAAATTAATACAATCAAGTATTATTTGGTTCCAGTAACTGTAGTAAATATCAAACGAAGACGATGCAGGTAGGAGAGTATTGATTGAAAAATTCTGCAGATTTGAGTCTAATCATATCATGATCTTCATTCTTAACTATTGAGCTTTCAAAATAAATATAAGCTATTATGACGGTATCTATTATTGACACCCTTTTCGTACCTGCATTTCCTTCGGTGAACCTTTCCAAATCGCTAATTAACAGCACAGACCTTCCACTCACCTGGATGATGAAAGTGAAAGAGCCAACGTAACGAACCACTCGGTGAAAGCGCCGTTCCAGGTATTCATAAGCGGAGGTCACCTGCGGAGAAATTCGTGTTTTAGAAGACTAGAAAAAAAATGATTTCCAAGTTCTAGATAAGGATTATTTCTATTGCTCTTCTCACAAATGTTGAAGACAAGGAAGAATATTAGACAAACTGTTTTGTGGATGAGAGAAAACGTTGATTTATACCAAACGTTTATATGAGAGGAAGCGTTATTTCACCAAACTTTCAGATTTTAGAAGAGTAGGTAAAATACATTTTATAATCCATCTAAAGTTGAGAAGGCTAGAGAAAATATAGTCTTATTACCGGTTATATAGCCTGTTGATATAGCATATTACGAACTTCGTAGTCTAGTGTTCATTGAGAAATTATCACAAAACTACGATAACTAAGGGCCATGCAATAATACAAATTTGGTAATGAAATATATTGAACATACCTGCCGTTCACCTCTGATGCATAAGAATGATGAAACAGTATGTCAGTTCAACAATAAATAAACATTTAAATTTCTAACGTTAAACATCAAATACAAGTAAAATGTCAGGATTTCTTCACAAATAGTTTCCTTTAATAACTCATGAGTGAATTACCAATCTACCAAGCACGATTTTTTAAGTTATTACAGCCACATGAACCACTGGCCTATACAAAACCGGCAACTCAACCCTCACAAGGTTAAACACCCACATTTCGTATAACGGCCCATTGAATCAAACGACCAGTCAAGTAAAGCGTCTCACCTGCAGCTTATAGAAGACAGGGAAGTACAGGTAAGCCGCAGAGGGCATGACGAAGAAGTACGAGAACCCGATGAGCCAGTAAAGGAAACCGAACTGGTAGACTTCCGACGGCGTTCCGAGCAGCGTGATGGCGGACATGAAGCTGTCGGGAGAAAACGGTGAGGTTAGGATGGAAGGAAAGACGCCTTTGGAACAAGAGTAAATAGGGGGGGGGACGTTTTGAGTGAGTATGAGACTTCTATTCAGGTTGTAGAGCCTTTACTAGTGCATTTGATCACATCTTTTGCAGTGTGTAATTAGGGTAATATTCAAATGGAGTGTGAAAATCATAAAAAACGCTGAGGTTATGATGGAAGGAAAGATAATTTTGGAGTGTGAGCACCTTTTAGTGTAATATTGATTAGATGGAACTAGTGCATTTGATCACATCTTTTGAGTGGTAATTAAATATTCAAATTCAAATGGACTGTGAAAATCATAAAAAACGCTGAGGTTATGATGGAAGGAAAGATACCTTTGGAACAATAGTGATTAGGTTGTAGAGCCCTTATTAATGTATTTCATTTCATCTTTTTGTAGAGTGTAATTAAGTTATATTCAAATAGAGAAAACTATGAGGTTATGATGGAACGGAATAAACCTTTGGAACAACAGTAATTTCCGGGGAAACATGTGGCTTTTGTATGAGACTTCTATTCAGGTTGTAGAGCCCTTACTAGTGCATTTGACCACATCTTTTGGAGTGTGCAATTAAGCTAATATTCAAATTCAAATAGAATGTGAAAATCATTAAAAAACGGTGATGTTATGATGGAACGATATGCACCTTTGGAACAACAGTAAATAGGGGGAAATACGTGGCGTTTTGAGTAAGTGAGACTTTTATTCGGTTTGTAGAGCCCTTATTAATGTATTTCATTTCATAGAGTGTAATCAAGTCATATTGAGAAAACGGTGAGTTATGATGGAACGAACCGAACAACAGTAATTGGAAACATGTGGCTTTTTGAGTGAGTATGAGAATTCAGCCCTTACTAATTGACCACATCTTTTGCAGTGTGGCTAATATTCAAATGGAGTTAATAATAAAAAAAAAAAGAAAACGGTGAGGTTAGGATGGAAGGAAAGTGGAACTTTTTGAGTGAGTGTGATGTAGACCACATAGAGTGTGTTTTCCATATATTTTCCAATTCAGTAATGTATTTGTTTGTTCATTGAGATTATAGATATTAAGTAGAGTGAGATATATTAACATCTTAATATTTCCAAAGTGCAAATTGTTTCATTTCCATGTTTCTTAAATCACAGAAGACAATACTTGGTTGAAATTTATGAAGTATAAATGGATAAAATGTTTTGAACCAATCACCATATTAGTAGTTACATCATTCTTAACTTTTGACATAGGATTGTGCCTTGGAATATGGCTATTAGCACTTCGAAAAAATACATTACATTCACAAATCTAAAATTAATCTAAAATTGAGAAAAAAATACCAAACTCTCTCACCTGGCAATCAGCGACATAGCAACGGGGAAAGTTGTCATGGATTTGCCAGCCATGAGGAAATCGCTTGTGTTCTGTTTCTTGCCACACACGCCATAGAAAATACCGATGGCAGCTGATATGGCAAGCATGAAGCCGAACACCGTGTAGTCGATCCATGTGAATCTCTCCACTAATTCGTTGATGTTGACCGCCATGTTGAGGGCCTTGAGGTTAGCTTGTCTCCTGCGAGGTTAGGTGTTGTCTGTGGAAAGAAGTATTAGCATTATTAAATCGTATTTTTGCTCTCTATTTGGTTAAACGAAGATGGAGAATGGCCGGATTTAGATTGGAGGGATATGCTTTAATAAATCTGTTAGGTATAACTATGAGGCCACAGAGGTAGAGAGGCAAAAACGACAAAGATAATATTTGCGTAAAATGCAAATATAATTCATCTATAGGTACCACACGTTAGTTTCTATACAAGATACCTTGACTGTTATTACGTAGATATGAACGTTTTCATTGTTCATAAGTACACATGAGAAATAATGTGCGGAGATCTACTTTTTTCAAAGCCTTTGCCTCCTAATTTAGCGAAACCATATTTGTTATCCAAAAGTTTTTAGCTACAGATGTGAACGCTGTCAAAAGAAATGTAATGTTAAAAAAGATATCCTTTAATTCCGTAAGAACACAAACATTTTCTATAGATCCCATAAATCAAAGAAAACGAAAATACAAAAGCATAACTAATCTAAATGTATTAATGTACGAGTATAATTGCGCTAATCTAATCACAATGTAACCACAACAAATACATGGCATGAAGTATTATAATAAAACTTACCAAGTATTATATATAAATGTACGTACTATAAACTTCCTATATATAGAGTCACAGATACAATGTTTGACCCCAGAAATACACACACTGTCAAGCAATGCAGGTATGGTTCTTACCCATCATATATATATATATATATATATATATATATATATATATATATATATATATATATATATATATATATATATATATATATATATATAATCAGTGCAAATAGTCAATTAGGGAATTCGGCTAATTATGCCTTCAGCCAACAGTGTTCCTTGATAGGTTTTGATAAGTAAAAAGAAAGAAGAAAAAAAAAAATTGATGTCAAATGATAGTATGAACGATGATACAATTTATTTTCATTACAGAATGTGATGGATGTTGATTAAGCAAACCGTACCGAAAAAAAAAAAAAAAAATGTTAATTGCTATGGAATATCATTATCCATACCATCACAATCACCACCAAACCATCGTCATCACTGTTACTATTATCATCATCATTAGGATAGGCTCAACTACGACATACTGTATCTAAATGAAATGTTGAATCTGCAACCATCCTAGTCTATTGTATGTAAAACAGGTGGCGGGTATATGTGTGCTTATATGTATGGGTATGTGTGTGCGTGGGTGAGTGTGGGAAGGTACAATATATACAGTATAAATTTTTATGTGTGTGCGGATAACAAAAATATATCCGTGTTGATATCATAGCAGAGAGGATGACACTGCATTCAAAATATGTTTGTTGAAAGGTGAAACAATGGAGGCTTCCACCTTCAGGTTTCGCCTTTCAATAAATATATTTTACGTATAGCGTTATCTTGTTGTTGTTGTGTGTGTTCGGATTTATACATTGTGTTCATACATGCGTGCGTACATACATGCATATTTGTACATACATACACATATATACATACATACATACATACATACATACATAATATAATAAATACACAAGCACAGACACACACACACACACACACACACACACACACACACACACACACACACACACACACACACACACACACACACACACACACACACACACAACACACGAACACACACACACGAACACACATACCCATATGCATATACTACACATATGTATGTATTTATGCACGAGTCTATTTATGCACGTATTTAAAAAAAGATAAAGAGCACAGCATCGTGTTCCCTGGCAACAGCTTCTCTCCTGGCTATAAGGAGAGGGAACCGAATCGAGGGAAGATCCCCGTTGCCTGGCTGGAGGCTTGGATCCCCTCGACAAAAACTCGAATAGGAGAAGTTGGGAGTGTTTATAGGATCCGGTCTGTACCTACGGGATTGCCGGTGTTGGGTAAATGTGTTTATATTCGTTTTTTTTTTCTTTATTTGCATTCGAATGACTTGATGTTTTTTTTTTTTTTTTTTTTTTCTTTTAAATGATTTGGTGTGTTTTGTTTTGTTTTTGTTTATTTAATGGATGTCATATAAACCGTATGAATGTGTTAGATGTCGTACGGATTTTAGATAATATATTTGGAGGAAAATTTGCATTTAGGTAACTGTGCATAGAAGATAAACCCCTTTTTTTTGGGGGGGGGGGTGGCGAGGTGTTCTCATTATTTTTTTTTTTTTTTTTTTTTTTTGTGAGCTTTACGACATTTTCCATGATTTCCCATAATTAGACTTCCCAGTTCCTCAAGTGTCTATGTATTTTTTTGTGTCTTAATTGAATTTTTATTGCGCTTTCGTGTCTCTTTTTTTCTTTGTTTTTTTTTTTGCTGTTGTTTTTTCTTTTATGTGGGATTTTCCACTCTAAATTCCAACACTGTTTTACCTCCTTCACTTTAACTGAAGTAGATTTGTGCATTTGTTGAAAACCGCACTTATATCATTCTCTTATCTTCATACATATGCATTTATCGTTATATATCACTGTTAATGTCACTACCACCATCATTATTAACATTAATATTATCATAACTAGTTTTACTGTCATTATCATTAGCCTCATAACGATTTCAACATCATATTTATATCGGCGTTTCTTCTTCTTGTTCTCCTCTTTTTCGTCTTCTTCTCCTTTTCTTCTTCTTCTTTCTTCTCCTTCTTCTCCTTCTTCTTCTTCTTCTCCTTCTTCTCCTCCTCCTTCTCCTTCTTCTTCTTCTTCTTCTTCTTTCTTCTTCTTCTTCTCCTCTTCTTCTTCTTCTTCTTTTTTTTTTCTTCTTCTTCTCCTCCTTCTCCTTCTCCTTTTCTTCTACTTCTTTTTCTTTTCTTTTCTTTTTATTTTTTTTATTTTTCTTCTTCTCCTTTCGTCTTCTTCTCCTTCTCCTTCTTCTTCTGCTTCTTCTTTGCTTTTGGTCTTTCGGAAGACAGCGCCGCCCTGACTCTTGCGAAAGATTCATGAAGTAAAACCGGATCTTTGTTATTGTTATCATCATTATCATCTTTTATTGTTTTCATTATTATTGGTGTATTTATTGCTATCTTTGGTGTAACTCTTATCGTTGTTTGCGGTTGTTAGCATTGCCATTCTAATCTTCAATGTCTATCAGATTAGATCATGTATGTATGTATGTATGCATGTATATATATATATCATATATATATATATATGTGTGTGTGTGTGTGTGTGTGTGTGTGTGTGTGTGTGTGTGTGTGGTGTGTGTGTGTGTGTGTGTGTATGTTATATATGTATACACACACACACACACACACACACACATGCACCCCTTCTCTCTCCTTGTCTCCGCCGATAAGACCTCGAGACCAGTCGGACGAGTTCTAAGATTCTAGGAAAACTTTATTCGCGTTGGGTCGTTTTTTTTTTTTTTTTTTTTTTTTTGTATGCGGTTGTTCATTGTGTATGGTAATTATGTTTTTTTTTTTTTTTTTTTTGTTAGGTGGTAAATAGATGGCGATAAAGGAAGGAGGGAGGGAAGAGAAAAGGGAAGGGAGGGAGGAGGGAGGGAGGAAAACGAGAGGGAAGGAGGAAGGGAGAGGGAGGGAGGAGGGAAAGAGGAAGGGAGAGGGAGGGAGGGAAGGGAGGAAGGAGAGAGGGGGGAGGGAAAGGAGGAAGGGGGAGGGATAGGAGATGGGACTGAGGAAAGGAAGAGAGAGGGAGGGAAGGAGAATGAATGAAGGAAGGGAGAGGGAGGAGAGGACGAGAAAGAGAGATATAGAGAAAGAAAGAAAGAGACAGAAAGAAAAGAGAGAGAAAGAAGAGTAGAAAGAAGAGAGAGAGAAAGAAAGAAAGAAGAGGAGGAGAGAGGAGACGTTAGATCGCGCAGTATAATACTGGGCGGCGCTATCAGCTGCTGAATATAGGCTTTTCTTTTTAAATCGACATCTTGTTTTGTCTTCGAAATCGTGGATGATTTTTCCCTTCCCTCTTTTTCGAAATATTCATTTATTTATTTGTTTATTGATTCATTTATTTAAAAGATTGACGGATTGTGTCATGTTATAATGTCATCGGTTTATTCGTGTGTTATGTGTGTGTGTGTGTGTGTGTGTGTGTGTGTGTGTGTGTGTGGTGTGGTGTGTGTGTGTTGTGTGTGTGTGTGTCTGTCTGTCTGTCTGTATGAATGTTTGTATGTATGTATGCATGTGCGTGTATTTTCATACCATATCACCTTCCACCATCATCACTACCCTTATCGTTATATAAACCCTTCACCTATTTAGACTATTTACAACGAAATTATCCATCCAAAACCACGCGGAAATTTCCTACACAACAAACAATCTTGTTGTGTCCATTCGACCGTTCCCCTGTTGGTCTTCTGTTTATCCTTCGCATTACACGCAGAGTGGGTGTTTCATGACCTGCTTGCGTCGTTAGTTTGTCTGTTACATTCTTTCCTATTGTCGTTCGTCGTCGGATGGTACTTCCTGATACTGTGTTGTCTATTGTGTTTTTTTGTGTGGCTTGAGGTGATTAATGGATTGAGGGGGAGGGAGTATAATATGTTGGTGGTTTGTGTGTGGATTCGTGGGTTGGGGTGTGTTGTGTGGTTTGGGAATGGGGAGGGTTTTGTGTGTTATGTGGATGTTGTGTGTGCTTGTTGTGTGGTGTTTGTATACACTCTTCGTGATATATGTATTTATATTATTTTAGTAATGTGTTTTAGCTGTTCGAATTAATATATTTAATTTATATTACTGGTGTGTGTGGTTGTATTTGTGCTGTGTATTGTGATGTATAGTTATTTTATGTGTGTGTGTTGTTCGTGTGTGTTTGTTGTCGTTTGTGTCGTGGGTGAATGTATGTGTGTGTGTGTTTTCAGAATATTTTTTCTTAGAGATTCAAGGTTTGCTACAAACTGACAAATGTATCTTTTCTCTATTTTATTGGCGTCTCTCTCTCTCTCTTCCTTCTCATATCTCTTCTCTACTCTCTCTCTCCCTCTTCTCTCTGCTCTCTCTCTCTT